GTATAATTACCTGTTATGAGTATACTGCTTAAAGATACAAATATAGTTAATGCCACTGTGGTTTTAAAAATGCCTTTGTTTTGTGTACTGTTTGTAATTAGCAACTTTTTTGTATTTATTTGGTGATAATCGTTTGAAATTTGTACGGTTCAGGATCTGATGATTCACAGGTATCTGAAGGAACTGGCTAACATTTCTAGCGCATTTTGCTCAATACTTATCTTCACTAAATTCTGAAACTATATACTGATATGTTTGTTTTCTTATTCATCTTAAATCGTACTTGATTTCCTACCCTATACTGGCTCTTTCCCGCAGCTTTCCTAAATGAAGAATGAAAAAAATGTAAAAAAAAAAGTAAAAAATCGCCCCATTAATTTGTCCTCGTCGCTGACTCGTTCCGTCGCGTGCAATGTGACTTCGAAGTCCGAGTTTATGCAGTGAAAGTGACTGAAAAGCCGTAGTTCTTCCGTTACTGGAGTTTAATGGTGCAAGTGATTCATTTTTATTTGTTTTTAAAAACTGTTTATCCACCTACAGACTAAAATAAAGAGATACAGAAGTAAAAAAAAAAAATGAAACTGATGATTTTTTGTTGTTTCGTCTTCCTGCTTAAAGAAGGGAGTAACTAAGGCTTCAGCAACGAATCAGCAATGGGACAAATTTCGTTTTAACGTCAAAGGAATCCGCTAACAATCTAACGAAGCTGAACTCAACCTGGACTTAGGAGAATATGGCCGAATTCTTTAGTCAGTAACTCGCTTGGACACTCTCTAAACTGGTCAAAACTAGCATGATAAATATTTGTCGAGTTAATGCGTGTTTAAAAAAACTAAATCCATGATAAAATGGCGTTAGGGACCACTTCCGGATCACAGCAATAGAAAACGGGGATTGTTTATTTTTTCTCCCCTCCACATGCCAAAATCAGCGTCTGGTCACCACCAATGGCTGCGGGAAATAAAGCAACTAAAAGGTATTCAACACCCTTCTAACACCACCCAGGTGATTTCATTAACTGAATCACCTAGACCTTATTCCGACTTTGTTACGTTTCTAAAAATAATCCACAGATCGGTTTAGACAAAAAAAAAAAATATTAATCTAATAGTTTTGGTTTCCAATGCCCATGGAAATGTCTTCTTTATGCCGGTCTTGTAGTTAAATGCCCGGGTCATAAGTGGTAATAATGCCTCCAACACTGGGACTCCACTGGCACGAGTAAACAGCTGTTGTCGAAAAAAAGGAAAAACTTTCGATAGCGCTCTCATAAATCTTATTCGGAAATCTTTTAGGAAAATTCGTTGTTTTATTTTGTTTTTCTCTTTTGGGAGGAATTTTACTCTTTAAAGATGACTTCACAAAGGGCGATCGAAGGTTTTTCTCTCTGATTCGTAACTTGGATGAATAGGAAAGGGATCGGCCACGCAGATCCAGTTCCCAGTTTCCAAATCAACTTTTACCTCTGCCTGTCATCGACACAGAAATGTCGGACCCTTAAACCTAAATTTGTTTTTAGAATTCATTACGCATGAATTGAATCTTCCTCAATCACCTATTTTGGACGAAGATGAGGAAGGAGAAATCAGGGAGGTACACTGCATGCTCGTCTTTGTTTTTGTTTTTTGTTTTTCTTCCAGTGCCGTTCTAACATGCCGTTCTTTCCTCCCTTCCTCCTCCCCACGGTAACGTTCTTCGCTCTTTCGGATACCGCACTTTACCGCACGTTCTTCGAGGGACGGAACCACTTTCTCATGACGAAGTAGAAGACGGTGAGGACGTAGATGAGCAGCAGGATGGCACAGGTCACGGCCAGGGCGAGGACGGACGATCTCGTTGGGCACGTTTCGAAGAGCGTCACGTCGGCGGCTTCGTAGTTGTACGTGTCTGCGGGGGGAAAGGTGCGGTCTTGAGGTATGTGTACTTATTTTAGAGTATCCTGGACAATGGGGTCGTTATCATTCGTCAATATCTACAGGCTTTAATATCACACGAACAAAAAAACGCGCGCTCCCCGTTAACTCACTCGGTAACTCACTGTTAGTGTAGTAGTTGTTGTTGGCCTCGAGTTCGGACTGCTCGCGGTACTGCGGGCTCTGGTCGTCGCCGAGGTCTAGCACGAGGATCTCCTGGCTGATGCTCATCTCGCTGGCGCCGCTGCTCTTGCGCTCGGCCGCCGCTATCGCCTCCTCCTTGGTGGTCTCCTGCACGTGTCCGCGGCCGTCCCTGGGGTTGTTGACGCCTCGACGCTTCCTGCCCCAGGACTCCAGCTGTTCGCGGCCCACCTGGCACCTTGCCTGTAGGGGATTGGCAGTGGGAGATTAGTCGCCTCGAATGCTGTCTGATTTTACCTTTTATATTCAGCTCATCGCGTTGCGCCCTCACAACTCTCTCTTTTCTCCTTTCTCTTCAGCATTCTCTCTGTTCCTCTCTCCCTATCTCCCTCCCTCATACAAAAAAAGAAATCCTCCAACTCACAGGCTCACAAGGCCCGAGGCAGTACTTGACGTTGCACTGGAAGATGACGCCGTAGGACTCGGTGAAGCGGAAGGCCTCGTACACAGACTGAAGGGCGGTGCCGTCGCGGATGAACTGGGGGAAGATGGAAGGTTCCACGGGGCACCTATGGGAAGGGGGGGGGGGTGGCGCGGTTAGAGAGGAGTGTGGCTTAAGAAGGCTAGTCCTGGTGAATGTAGACTGCGGAAATGGTATATTATTTCAATCATATAGGACATAAAAGCGATAAGGTAGTACATTTTTTTTCTCCATTGACACATTACAACATGTATCACAACCATAACTTTTTTTTTAACACAAAAAGCAACACAATCACTCTACAACTCTACACCTATCTCAGGTCCTTTAAGTTTAAACAACCAGCATTCTACAAAGTCAACCTCGAGCTAACTTACCCTTCATCATCGATAATCTGGAAGGTGGAACTCGAGTCCTTCCCCATGGCAACGCAGCTTCGGGCAAAGATACCGTAGGGAGCTGGAAAGGAAAGGTTTTAATGAACGGACGTCTCCACAATAGCCGAGTCGCAGGAGTAAAATTGCAGATAAACAATAAGAGACACTTTGCTCGGATATATAAGTATATTCTAATCGTTTCATTATGTTTTGTAATGATTTGAGTAGTGTATGTACATTATGTTTGTAATAGAATAAATCTTAGGCCATATTGATATATAAAAATAGACGCTTCATACATATATAAACTCGCTTGATAGTCTGCCGTTTTCCTTTTCATGACTGGTCACTTTTTTCATACATAAAATCAGAATTAGTTGTATGAAATTAGACCAGTGAGACAAATCACTCTAATTCTGATATCAAAAGAAATAATATGGATTAAAAATTATTCAAAACATCCAGCACATTACTGTCAGAAAGACTCACTCTCTTCCGGGATCTCAATCCTGAAGGCGAGTCTGTCTCCAATCCTGACGGTCTCCACCTCCCTGGCTTCGGCATCCAAGATACGGATCCTGGGTGGAGGGGCCTCGGGGGCGGAGGTGATGGGAATCATGTCGGGATCCCTGGTTGATAAAACGACGGGTTAGTATTTGCTTTAGTTTACCCTAAAAGAAAAAATTGTAACAGAGAATGGAAGTGAGGGGGTAACTGTCATATTGTCAAAAATTGTCAGGGGTGTCATATTGTCATTCATATAATCGCATTTTTGTCATATATTGATCAAGTCATATTTTCTGTGTAAGAGATGTGAGTCTACTACTGTGATTCACGTTGCGTTTCTTTGTTAGTGTTAATCAGTTCATGGGTGTTAATACAATGAGCCTAATATCTTTGCGCCCTTAGCATATAAAAACCGACTGCTTAGATTGTGTTTCTGTAAACCATGTCGTTAGCGTTGTTTTCATAAGCTATTTAAGAAGAGTCAAACCGACAAGATCAACCTTTTTATTCGATCAAAACATTTGTCAATATCACTACAACTTGAATGTGATATTTCTGTTGTCTGAATATTACAACTAATGTCTTTACTATTCCATTTATCATCTAAAAATACTTTTACTTTGAAAGGTTGTCAGTTTGATTATTCCACTGTTATTCGGCGTCCTGTAAAATGTGTGGTTAGTGAGGCTTCCAAAAGGTCAATATTTAGTTAGGTCGTTAGTGCATGCTTATGTCGAGACAGACCGAATATCGAAAGAGATCCAGAAACAGTTGTAAAGATACGTGTGACACTCAAAGGTCGGGGATTTATTTTTTTTTAATTATTATTATTAGTAGTAGTAGTAGTATTTTTTATTTTTTTTTTTTTACTTTAAGATTGACTTGATAATTTCTCTGGGCTCTTTCGATTTATCGTCCGCTTACAAGACTAGTTGGATTTGTCTGTTTTTTCCTGTTAACGTCCCAGCGATGTGTCTACAGGTCAGCGTTCGCAGGCTTGTGCTCCAGGTCTATAGATCAACATTTACAGGTTCGTGCTCAGTGTCTACAGATAACTGCTGTAACGAGTCTGTGCTCCATGTCAACAAGTCAATGTTTCCATGTCTAGAAGTCATTCGAAAGGCTACAGACAGCGGAAAAGAGGGTGAGGGTGTCACAGGCGAGGCAGTCCCTAGCTACGTGGTTGAACTGGTACTACCAACTCTACACGTGTAATTCTCTACACCTGCCACTAACACCTGTTGTCTTACCGGATCATCAGAGTCTCGGATATCTGGTTGACATCCTGGCCTGAACTGCTGTAAAGTTGTCAAAGTTAGTGGAGTGTTTTCGCGTACTTTTGTACTGGTATCACTAATGCAAATCTATAAGAATTTCCAATAGCCAGTGATCCTGTAGACACTTATTCAAGGAAAAGTCATTCTGTGAAATGGCTATGCAGTTAAAGGTATTTCATCACCATATCCTAAATCATCTAGCAGTCAAAAAGGTGTCCAGTATTAGAAGTGTCAAGAGCTCTCACGTCAACCCTTTTGCAGGACAGCACACCCATCACTTCTAAATGCACGTAAGGTTCAAAAGTGCCTGCTATACAGAAGGTGCCGAGGTCCGCCTTCCGCGCCAGCTCCTCTTACCTGATGGGCATCATGCCGAAGGAAATGTTCTTCGAAGACATGTCGTAAGTGCAGCGCACCTTGTAGATCTTGTCAGTCTTGGTCATGACGACGGAGTGGTGTTGGATGACGACGGTGTTGGTGTACACGCCGTTCTGTAAAAGGGTTCGCTTTGGTTACAGAGTTGTTGGGTCGTTTGGTATTTGTGGCACTAGGGACTGATATGCAAGACATGACAAGCGTAACTTATAGATGGATAAATTGATGGTTTCCTTTTTTCTCTCCCTCTTCCTTCAAAAGGTAGATAGAAAAGTAGATAGCAGCATGAAAGCACCCTTCTTCCAGCCTGCACTTACAGCACTCTGTGTGTTACAGTCCTGCCCTGCCATGGAGAGGTCCAGGCGGAATTTGTTCGACTGGATGACCTGGATGTTACACGTCTTCGAGCGACCGAGGGCGTAGATGCGGCCGTTGAAGTTCCTGTTGGTCATCACCTCCACCACGATGCGCGTGTCCTTGCAGTGCACCGACACTGTTTGCAGGGGAAAAGATGAGTGGTGTTGCATGGGGGGGGTAAGAATTTACTGCCGAAAATGTTTGCAATATTTTACAAAGGAAACTGGAAGAAAATAAACATTACACTTTCTTTACTGTTATTACCAGTAAAATACACTCAAAAAAACAATAAGAGAAAAAAGCAAATGCTTCTGCTAGGAGCAACCTAAACAATTTTGCAGATATACGTAAGTGAAAAGGTATTTTCTAGATCTCACCATCATAACAGACGCCCGTGGGATCGCAGTTGTCACCCCCCTGGTTGGCAGTCGCCGGCGTGCTTCCAGCAGCAGCAACTATCGGCTTGATGGTCGAGTCACTGCCTCCTGCCACCGTGCTGCCACCACCCAGAATACCCCCGATGCTGCCCCCAGCTCCACTGACACCCACGCTGCCGGATCCGCTGCTTCCACTTCCCCCGCTGCTGCTGCTGCTGCTGCCGCCACTGCTGCCGCCACTGCTGCTGCTGCCTGTCACGTTGATGTCTAAGGATTCTGGAAAGGGTCGGGTCGTGCTCGAGAGTTTGGTCGAGGATTTCGTGTGTTTATAAAGGAAGGAGGTCGTCTTTGATAGGAATACAAGGGAAACATAATCGCAAGAAATATTTTACAACTGGTGTCTTTATTAGATATTGGGCACATACATATGACGAATGTGTATGTCTACGATATAGTTTCATTACACTATGTGAATAACGAAGCTATTAGTCCAGGTAGTACTATAAAACAATCCTTCCCAAACAGGAACTGAAAAGCATGAACTGGAACGCAATGACGTCAATAAAAGGAAAAAAAGGCGTATTCTTAAAGGAAAAAAAACGTTTGGGAATCATTGCCATATAGATTTCTTAGTCTAGTCTAATCATGCAATTCGTCATGCAGCTGTCATCGAGAAAATCGACGTTTCATGCAGAATTACGGTACACCTGGTATGTCAGCATGCACGTTGTATGTGTGTGGGTAAGCGTATGTATGTGTGTGTGAGTTTGCGTCTGCGTATCCGTGTCCGCGTGTGTGTGCGTTTGCGTAAGCGTGTGTGTGTGTGTGTGTGTGTTTAAATGTGTTTAACCTGTATATCGTCCTGAATGTTGTAATAACCGAAGTGTGTCTTGCTGTTAGGTACAGGAAGTCATGAAGCTTGGATGCATGGCATTAGCAGCAATGTCCTGGCAATGTGCTGCAGTATGCCTCACCTTCCATGGACAAGAGGCGCTTGCCACGTCCGGGAAAGGAGAAGAAGAAGGGAAGTACTTCGGTCTTAAAGTTGGAGGACATCCGGTCTTTCTTGAGGGTGGTTGTTATGTCTGGATGCTTGGGTGGATAAAGGACTAAATTGGTGGCTCTCTTCTCTCTTTTCGCTCACTCTCACTTTCTCATTATCTCACTCTTACATCTCAGTCTGTCTCAGTTTCTCTCTGTCTCAGTCTCTCTCTCTCTCTCTCTCTCTCTCTCTCTCTCTCTCTCTCTCTCTCTCTCTCTCTCTCTCTCTCTCTTCTCTTTCTCTTTCTCTTCTCTTTCTCTCTTCTTCTCTCTCTTTCTCTCTCTTTCTCTCTCTTTCTCTCTTCTCTTTCTCTTTCTCTCTTCTCTCTCTCTCTCTCTCTCTCTCTCTCTCTCTCTCTCGCTCTCTGTCTGTCTCATTCACTCATTCACCTATCCATTCATTCACTCACTCTGACACATATATTTACAGCCATTTATGCTTCACTTAAACAGTTTATTTGCAATTCACGAATGCGAAGAAAGCAATGTCCGGCATTTCACTGAGCCGCCAACTTTAATCGCGTCTTCACTAGTCTACAAGCGTCATGTTAGTCAGTCATGGCAAACACAGGGGTTAGAGATGCAAGAAAAAAGATGCATTTCGTCGTGTAGATTGTAAAGAAGAGTATATAAGGGAGGTAAAAGAGAGAAAGC